CCCCCCCCCTCAGCCTCCCAAAGGCACAGTCTTCCAGCCTAGGCAATAGAGTGAGACTCCAACTCAAAAAAAAAAAAAAAAAGGCCAGACTCAGTGGCTCAGCTCAGCCTATAATCCCAGCACTTTGGGAGACTGAGGCAAATAGATTGCCTGAGCCTGCAGGTTTAAGACTCACCTGGACAACTTGGTGAGACCTCATCTCTACGATAAATCAAAAATTAGCTGGGTGTGGTAGCATGTGCCTGTAGCTCCAGCTACTTGGAAGACTGAGGCGGAAGGATCACTGGAGCCCAACAGGTTGAGGCTGCGATGGCTGGGAGCATGCCAAAGCACTCCAGTCTGGGCAACAGAGTGAGACTCAAACTCAAAAAAAAAGATTCTACTAGTGACATGGAGAAATGGAATAGGAAAGGGAGATTCTCTAGGACAGGTGAGAAGTGGTGGGCCCTTCCACCCCCCACACTACCCCTAGGCTGGTGGCCAGGTCACACAGAGCCTGACAGACACAATCACAATGCCACCCTGAAAGGCAACCTTATTTATCAACTTCCCAGGACTTTATGAACACACACTTATCCCCCCATGCCCTCGCCAATAGTAGGTAGCATTAGTCTCCTGTTTGCTCATAAAATGACTTTATTATTATTGTTTTAAAGCCAGAATCTCTGTCACCCAGGCTGGAGTGTGGTGGTGCAATCACATCTCACTGCAGCCTTGAACTCCTAAGTTCAAGTGATCCTCCTATTCAGCTTCCTAAGTAGTTGGGACTATAGGTGTGTACCACTGTGCCTGGCTAATTTTTTTTTAAAGATGGGGTCTTGGTGTTTCCCAGGCTGGTCTCACACTCCTGGGCTCAAGCAATCCTCCTGCCTCAATTGATAAACAACTTTTATCATATTGTTTATCAATTGAGGCAGGAGGATATATTTTCTTTGTCTTTTTTGCAGGGGGCGGGGGGTGTTGGAGTCTCATTCTGTCACCCAGGCTGGAGCGCAGTGGCACACTCTCAGTCACTGCATCCTCAACCTGCTGGGCTCAGGTGATCCTTCCACCTCAACCTTTCAAGTAGCTGGGACAACAGGCACATACTGTCACACCTGGCTAATTTTTTGACTAATTGTAGAGATGAAGTCTCGCTATGCTGTCTAGGCCAGGCTTAAACCCCTTGGGCTCAGGCAATCCTCTCATCTCTGCCTCCCAAAGTGCTGGGATTATAGATGTGAGCCACTGTGCTCAACTATTTTCAGAGGCATACAAAGCAAATTGCTTTGATTACAACCATGTGTCTCTATTGTTTTGTAGACTTTCAATTATTTGATATCATTCTTCCTTCATTTTGAGCAAATTTTCCTGTAATATCTCTAAATACATTTTGTTCTTTATTTCTTTTTATGTGTTTGGACATTTAACTTTTGGTAGTGTCATTTTTGTCTCTTTCATATGTACCATCATCTAACTGCCTTTCTTCAGAGAATATATCACCTACTCAACCATTTGTGGGAGAAAAACAAGACAATGAAATTCAGCCTACCAGGAGATGAATTCATATTAAAAACTGCTGGGGGTGGGGGCGGCACACCTCATCAACAAGGGTACCTCAATAATGAAAATGAACATTTGTATAGCTAACCTTGAATTGAACCCCACATATTTAAATTTTTTAAAACCTCAAGAATCAGCTGGGCGTGCTGGCTCACACCTGTAATCCCAGCACTTTAGGTGGAAGCAAGAGGACTGCATGAATACAGGGGATTGAGACCAGTCTGGGCAACTTGGTGAGACCTCATCTCTACAGTAAATCAAAAAATTAGCTGGACGTGGTGAAGTGTGCCTGTGGTTCCAGCTACTTGGAAGGCTGAGGCAGAAGGATCACCTGAGCCCAGCAGGTCAAGGCTGGAGTGGCTATTAGCATGCCCCTGCACTCCAGCCTGGGTGACAGAGTGAGACTGTGACTCAAAAAAAAAAAAAAGAAAAGAAAAAGTCGGGTTCGGTGGCTCAGCCTGTAATCCCACGCCTTTGGGAGGCTGAGGTGAGTGGATTGCCTGAGCCCGCGGGTTCGAGACCCGCCTGGGCAGCGAGACCTCATCTCTACGATAAATCAAAAAATCAGCCGGGCGTGGTAGCGCATGCCTATAATTCCGGCTACTTGGAGGGC